AGGAAGAAGAAACTACCATGGAGGACAACTGGAAAGGCATCAAAGAAACATTGACTTCAACGTGTCAAGAGGTTCTGGGCCTGAAGAAACACCATCATAAGGAATGGATCTCTATAGAAACACTGGACAAGATCAAAGAAAGGAAGAACAAGAAGGCAGCAATAAACAACAGCCGAACACGAGCAGAGAAAGTCCAAGCACAAGCTGAATACATAGAAGCAAACAAACAAGTGAAGAGGAGCATTAGAGCCGACAGGAAGAAATACGTGGAAGAATTAGCAACGACAGCAGAAAAAGCTGCTAGAGAAGGAAATATGAAACAGCTTTACGATACAACGAAGAAACTATCAGGGAAATACAGTAAACCAGAGAGGCCGGTCAAAGACAAAGAAGGCAAGCCAATCACTGAAATTCAACAGCAGCGAAACAGATGGGTAGAATACTTCGAGGAACTCCTGAATAGGCCGGCTCCAATGAATCCACCGAACATCGAAGCAGCACACACAGATCTTCCTATAGATGTCAACCCACCAACGACGGAAGAAATTAGAATGGCCGTCAGACAAATCAAGAACGGGAAAGCAGCAGGACCCGACAACATACCAGCTGAAGCACTGAAATCAGACGTCGAAGTAACCACAAGCATGCTTTACCCTCTATTCAAAAAGATTTGGGAGGAGGAACAAGTGCCAATGGACTGGAAAGAAGGACACCTCATCAAGATTCCAAAGAAAGGAGATCTGAGCAAATGTGAAAACTACAGAGGCATCACACTACTGTCAATACCAGGGAAAGTCTTCAACAGAGTGTTGCTGAACCGGATGAAGGATGCAGTAGATGCCCAACTTCGAGATCAACAAGCTGGATTCCGAAAGGATCGGTCGTGCACAGACCAAATTGCAACACTACGGATCATCGTCGAACAATCAGTTGAGTGGAACTCGTCACTATATATCAACTTCATTGATTATGAAAAGGCATTCGACAGTGTAGATAGGAGGACATTATGGAAACTTCTTCGACACTACGGAGTTCCTGAGAAGATTGTCAATATTATCCGGAACTCATATGACGGACTACAGTGCAAAGTAGTGCATGGAGGACAGCTGACGGATGCATTCCAAGTAAGGACCGGAGTCAGACAAGGCTGTTTACTCTCTCCCTTCCTCTTTCTTCTGGTGGTCGACTGGATTATGAAGACCTCGACATCTGAAGGAAAACACGGAATACAATGGACAGCTCAGAACCAATTAGACGATCTGGACTTCGCAGATGACCTAGCCCTCCTATCACGTACACGTGAACAGATTCAGATAAAGACAGCCAATGTAGCAGCAGTCTCTGCATCAGTAGGCCTCAGCATACACAAAGGGAAAACCAAGGTCCTCGAATTCAAAGCGGAGAACAGCAATCCAATCACCCTTGATGGCGAAACTCTGGAAGATGTAGAATCCTTCACATATCTGGGAAGCATCGTCGATATACAAGGAGGTTCAGATGCAGACGTAAAGGCGAGGATTGGCAAAGCAAGGGCCGCGTTCCTACAATTGAAGAACATATGGAACTCGAAACAACTTTCAACCAATATCAAAGTGAGAATCTTCAATACCAACGTCAAGGCAATTCTACTGTATGGAGCTGAAACTTGGAGAACTACAACAACCACAATCAAGAAAGTACAAGTATTTATAAATAGCTGTCTACGCAAGATACTCAACATCCATTGGCCGGATACCATCAGCAATAGCCTTCTGTGGGAGAGAACAAACCAACTTCCAGCTGAAGAGGAAATTAGGAAAAGACGATGGAAATGGATAGGACATACATTACGCAAATCGTCAAACTGCATCACGAGGCAAGCCCTAACTTGGAATCCTGAAGGGAAGCGGAAAAGAGGAAGGCCAAAGAACACATTACGTCGGATAATAGAAGCAGATATGAAAAGGATGAATTACAACTGGAAGGAGCTGGAAAGTATTGCCCAGGACAGGATTGGATGGAGAATACTGGTGAGCGACCTATGCTCCTTCACGAGGAGTAACAGGTGTAAGTAAGTAAGTATGATGAAGAGAAGCATCTTATTTTAAGATACAAATTTTAAAAAAGTATTTGAACTCATGAAATTATTTTTGATCTCAGTTCAATTCGACGGTTTCAATCAATAATTCAGTTTCATGAATGGTTGATTATCATTGAGCTAAATGGTTTCATTTATTGATCAAGATTTTATTCATTCATTTTAATCGTGAATTATTTATCAGATCATAAACCATAACAATAATCAACACATATTTTCTATCACTTGGTTATTTGAACGAACATTAAAAAAAATAATCTCTAATTGTCAATCACATAAGAATGAATTGCAAGGATAATATAAAAAGTCTTGTTCAGAAGACAGACGACTGAGTGAATTTAGGCATATACTACTTATGGACAGAAAAATAAAAATGGTATGCTCTACAGTTCAGCATGTGACATTGACATCCAAGAATACAAACAATTCGATCTCCATAAATTGTTTACAAAAGAGGATTTTCTCTGAAAGAGCATCACAATGTCGTATTGTGACTAAATAGCAATGTGAACATTAATCCTAGTCGCAGTATGAAATGTATAAAATGAGTTTAACAAGTAAAATTACGAAGGAAAAAGAAAAAAACAATACACCCAAATTAAGTAATTCGTAGGGTACACTAAACAGGTTTACATACAAGTCATGAACAGAACTCACTGACTAGTAAGAAACACAGTGCCCTAATAATGAAGACTAAGTATCTTAATTGATGGATAAAAAGTTTTCATATATAATTCAAGAGGAGGAAACTAAGTAGTTGAAAAAAAGTTGCCAGAAAATGAGTGCAAAATCATCAGCCGTATCATATGAAGGAAAGAGGACAAATGGGTGGCTAATAGAAGTCTTCTAATTGAAATAACAGGTTATTATATATATAATTATAGAACCTGAAGAGAATTTATCGAAAAGAATATTCTTCGTTCAAATATTAGTCTTTTAACAGAACTGTGTCGACATGATCTAGCACCATATATTTCAGTGGCCCATTCACATGTGGCTAAATATATACTAACTGTACAAAAAAGTCGTAAACACAAATTCGTTATTATAGATTTTGTAACACCCAATACAAAATGGGGACAGAACCAATATTAACAAATGTCAATTCGCATGTGGCAAAGTAGAAGATACAAGTGTTTACTAACAGTTGTCTACGCAAAATACTTCGGATCCGTTGGCCAGACACTATTAGCAACAATCAACTGTGGGAAAGAAAAAACCAGATCCCAGTGGAGGAAGAAATCAGGAAGAAGCGCTGGAAGTGAATAGGACACACATTGAGGAAAGCACCCAACTGCGTCACAAGACAAGCCCTCACATGGAATCCTGAAGGTCAAAAGAAAAGAGGAAGACCAAAGAACACATTACGCCAAGAATTGGAGATAGACATGAGAAAAATGAACAAGAATAGGATGGAACTAGAAAAGAAGGCCCAGGACAGAGTGGGTTGGAGAATGCTGGTCGGCGGCCTATGCTCCATTGGGAGTAACAGGCGTAAGGAAGTAAAATAGAACCTGAGACATATTGGTTCAAGTTACCACAGTACATTAACATAACGAGATGAAATTGTCAAGGCGAATCCCAGGAATAATATTAGTACGAAAGGCAACAAAAAACATTAGGTGATAGACATTGTGATTCGAAAATTAAGAATGATTTCATGGAGTAGAAAAAAGGGAAACAAAAGTGAGTAAATGACATGAAACTAAACATTTTAATTATTATATTCATCCGAGGAACTTTATTTATTATAGACACCAATTAACTAACAATGATCATAATAACAATAAATAAATCATGATTTATTGTTGTTTTGACTTCATAAAAGTGAAGTTGGCTACAGATAAATCAATCTTGAAGTATCTGAAAAAAATCACTTTTGATTTGAGTGTACAGAATGAATTAATGAAAATAAAGGGATCATGCCAAAGTGGAAAGTGAAATAAGTCAAAACAATAATTGTATCAAGTTTTGATAAGTCATGAGTCAGTCAACCAATCAGCGAGTCATAATCAACATAAAGCCTGACATGTGCATTCGCCCAAGTTGTCATAATACCACTGTAAGTATGAAGAGATGATGAGTTCAACAAGGGAAATAGATAAAAGGGTCAAAAAATATAGGAGGATCAGTATTAGCAAGAAGGATCAAACAATATACTGAATGAAGACAGAAAATAAGGGATACGATCAATAAGTCATTCATTTTAATGAAATGGAAGTGAAAATATTCAACAAACAAGTTTAAAGCAACAATGCAAAAAAGAAAGACACGATTTCTGTTAGAAACCATTGAAATCCATATCTCCTTAGTGTGATATGTGTTTACTAGTTGAAAAATCAAGAAGCCAGGAAAACAGCCGATATCATATTGTTGCATAGACTTTATCATTTTCTTCATAAATATGACAATTTAATGATCATGATAAGCAAAGTTTATGTACATTAGATGAAATGTGGCTGCCAGTGGAATGCAAGATGCACGCTTCGTCTCATGCGGGTCTATTCAGCTGGATTACCTGGTGAAAATATCAACGAGATAAGCCAAACTATGAAGAAATGAGTCAAAGTCATTCCACAAGTGAGTGGCTATCTACAAGTGGATAACACGTTGTTGTTTGAGGTAAAAGATATTGGGTTCCAGTTCCGGAATGGATACAAACGCTGAAACGCAGGTAGATTAAACTGACGAGTCCAAAATCGGACTAAACGCGCATCTTAGATTCCACTCTTAGCCACATTCCACTTCAGCATAAAACTGTCATAATCGCTATATCGAGGGAATCCTCATAAGATATTAACTAAAATTGGTCACATTTCGGTCAAAATAACAATAACAGTATAATTCAAACCATTAAAAATTCAATCATAATAAACATTTCTACAAAAAGAAAACTGATTCAATCTATAGTTTGAAAGTATACCTTATTATCTCCTCCAGATACCGCTAAAATATTCCCAGTTACAGACCACGAAACATTCCAAACAACATCGGAATATGTATACAAAATGGTTGGACGCCAAAATGTGGAATATTGTGTAGACTGGAAATCTTTCGATTCTACTAATTCATTAGAATTTGGGTTTTTATTATCATTATTATTATCATTTACTGCTGTCGATCGATTCATCATACGATTTTCATTATTATTATCATTATTAGCTGTCGATTGCCAAATTATTAATCTTCCATCTTGGCCACATGAAGCGATTAATTGCCGTGAAATATTCAAGCTTGGACACCAAGCAACATCACGTACCCAATCGGTATGACCATCTAGACGAGTTTCTTCGATCCATTCTGGATTTCCAGAAGAAACATCTTCACTATTAGTAAAAAAACGGAATGAAGAGCAACAATAAAATTTCACTTTAACTACGAAATGATAGAGAAAAGATCCCCAAAAGTTAGAATGAATTCATACTTATTCACTTTTTTATCATATGAGAATTAATACAGTACAACCTATGATTTACAATTACAGTTTCCCAATATGAATACAAATATAACTCATGGTTTTATTAACGAGAAATAAAAAAAATTATTCGGCGAAGAAAATTTTCTTTCGACGATATCACAGACTCTAGCTGTGCAATCATATTTGTAGTAAATTCACACATAAAGTAGTTTATTGAAAAATCGGAGGACAATTACACTACAAAATGTGTCGAAGAAGATCGCTTAATAATAGAGAATTTGAAGAAAAATAATAAGATGAAACCAAATGCATGAAAGGTGATTGTCCATTTTACGAGTATGAGAAGGGTAAAGAATAAATTAAGAACATGAGTGTTAATAAAGAATAATTAGAATTAAAGAGATTAAAAACACTAGAAGTATGTATTAACAATCAAAGTAATGTTTATAAAGATGTAGCTACAAATAAATTTCTTTCACGTGCCCCCTTTGCATATAGAGTTCAAGTTTTAAAAAATGGATTGTTAACACCTCTTCAGTGTATATTTTACATTCGCCTTCCGAAAGCCATGCAGGATAATGTCCAGGGACGAGCTTGGAAAACGCTCACATTGTCCGTCCAATGTAACCTACTACACAAGAGTAAGCAAACTTATGAATATAGACTGATGTGGCCTAAAATGAGAGTTCATCTTTAACACTTATTAATTTACGTTAACTTCATCTAGAACAATGAATAGAGTCAAATCTCATTAGATGTTGTGATTAAATTATACTGGTTTGTTGAAATGAATTAATCGATTCAGTACAGTTTAAATTTCAAAGGTTTTATAGGACTAAGGAAGCCACACTAAATAATGCACTTTAAAATCATTGGAAGGTATCATAAATTAAGTCATTTTTTTGTGTAATAAATAGCTGATAGAGTCCGTTATGTGTAAACAAGTTATGACTTGATACAAATGTGTATCAGATCATATTGTCAGTCATAACATAAGTAAAGCATGTGAAAATTCGTAACTTGTATTAGTGAAGGAGTCAAATGAATAAACTTGTCGATGATACTAAGAAGCAAATTTTAAGGAAACAAAGAACGAATACATTTATCACACTAGAATTAATTTAGATTATCACAAATTACTATTACCACATAGGTTAAAATAGGAAAATTTGCATCACTACTCAAACTGACAGTTAATTACTTTATGAAATCTTGATTTGACTGTCTCTAGTTTTTTTTCTTCTAATCTACTGATACACCAATAAACATTGGATGTTTAGAGTAACCAATGTCTAGGCACCTATAACACATATCTCATTCAGTTTCTTATTCATATCATTATTTTTTCGTCCAATCTTAACAAATATATAATTTCAGATGGGTTTTGTGGATATTATAGTAATTTCAATGGTTTAGATCATGAGTCAGTTGAAACTAGACCACCATGGAAAACCTGGAAGCACTGGACGGCCATTTCGTCCTATTGCGGAACTCCTCCTCAGTGCGCGAGGTCGTGGATGCGCACTGTTGAGGAGTTCCGCAATAGGACGAAATGGCCGTCCAGTGCTTTCAGGTTCTCCATGGTGGTCTAGTTTCAACTGACTCATGATCTAAACCATTGAAATATATAATTCATTTGAACATTATACTATACTGTATATTCCACATATAATCAAACATATATTTTATTGATGTTAACAATTGGTCAGTAGAACTTTGTGAATAATTTTCTACAATATTTTCAATCGTGTTATATCTACATCAAAGTTTTAACTGATCATAATGAAAATAATAATAATAATAATAATTTGAAACAATCATTTACAAAATAATAACAATAACAGTGAATATTAAATATAAAATGTATTTAATTTCGATTGTAATAAATATTTATTAAATATGAAAAATAAATATTGAATATATAAACAACAGATGAAATAAATCAGTTGAATTATTATTAGGTTGTCGGGTTTTTTTTCTTTCTCTCTCTCTCTCTCTCTCCTTATTAACTAATTCATTTTATATTTATTATAATTGAACAGAATAATAATAATAATAAATAGAAATATATAATAAGGTTGTATTGTATTCCTGTAATTCTCTCACTATTTCTTATTTATTCATACATTTTGATTAGAAATATAGGATAAAATAGAATGAAAATATACAAGTTAGTGAACTAATAGTCATATTAAAGATGATGATGATGATGATGATGATATGAATATGTTCGACCTAGTGACAACACAATGTTTAAAAGTCAGTCAGAAAATTCCATTTCACTAGTAATAAAAATTATGGAAAGATTTTTTAATTTGTGTTTTAAATGTTAACCTAGACTTTGAATGCAGTGTTCATTTGAACAAAATTCAAGTATTGCATACACGTAATTAGTTTCTGTCTAAAAAGACAGTGAGCTTCTGAAGAGATTTCAAAGAACCACATATAAATCGATTCCTGAAATCCTAAAGCCATTGTATGATGCGAGACTGGATAAACTTAGCCTATTACCTCTGTTGTGCAGCAAAAGTAGAGGTGATTGGATTACGGTCTTCAATGTTCTCATTTTTTTGTCTTCCGGAACAGAGGACCTGTGAGCACATTTTAGAGACTTTAACACACCCAGAACCAATAACTAGTCAGAAAATTGCTAACTTTTCCATAAAATTTTCAACAAATGGAACTCCTTACCTCAAGCAAGTGGTCGAAGCCCAATCTCACTACTCACTCAAAAGAAAGCTTGATCAACTGACAGAACGCCATAGTCACAGAACTGACACAGATCAATCAGCTCTTGCCTTTCCCAAACTGAAACTGATAATAACGACAAGAGTAAAGATACCATAGTTACGCACCATCGGATGCAAATGTAGTGGTTTTCATGAAGCCTAAAAAATAGGCTTAACCCCAGGCGGTTTCGAGAATGCAAATTCATTGGAAGTTCCATACTACGATCAAGCAATCGTTCAGTTTTTTTCTGGTTCTCAATGGCTGTCTAGTGGGAAATCGGTTAACGATAAAAATTACAAAACTAATCAAACCCCATAAACTTCCCATATTAGCAGGAAGTCAGTCAGTCATGCGCAACGTAGAACTTGGTACGTGTGTACAAAGGTCGAAGCAATCATATCCCATTAGCACAAAGAGGTGAATTTGTTATAGAGTATCTCAGGGTATTAGAGGGAGTAACAGCATCAGTGGCAATAAAAAAGACCGGACATCGAACATAAAATTCAAGAAAATACAAATTACTGACGAAGAAATTATGAGGAACTCAGAAGCTAATAGGAAGGCAATATTTTTGGTAGAAAGATCAGTATTTAAGGATTCAAAGACTAAATCGAACGTCCTTCCCACTGACTTAACATATTAGTGTTATAAGCATCATTAATAGATAATGTGGATAACGATTGAAGGCTAAATGAAGATCGTTCCAACCCAACGAGTGTTTATAGTAGATATTCGTTAGATAATAAGCCATCTATGATCACTGATGAGACTACAAAATAAGACAGTGTGTATTCTGTCTACTTGATTTCCAAAAGCATTAATTTACTATTAGTAAACAAGGAGAATGATATATTCAAATCTTACTGAAATCAAGAGCCAACATACGTTCAACAAGCATTGAAAACAAGGGAGCACTGACCAACTGTATCGCTTTAGTATGGGAGCCCTTTGAAGTGAAAAATCTACGAACCCGAAACTGGAGATCGAACCCAGAACCTTTGGCATCGCACTCGAATGCTCAACCTCTAGACCATAAAGTCGGCATCGGATGTTGTACAATTTTGACCTTAAAATTCGTTCGAATGAAGTATGAGAGTGGAAATTGTTTTCAGATTATCCTTAATTGTCTCTAAAATATATACAACTGATACCAGTAGTGTCACATCCAGTGATTATCTTACTATGGAGTACAATAGAAGAAGGTTAAGGGCGAAAAGAACAATGTATAAGAAAATTTAAACGGTCTAATCACGAACCTTTGTTTTGTACGATTCTAATTTGGTTTTTGCACAACAATTGTAATAATGATGACCAATGTTTATATAACGCTAGATATTGACCATTTCATCATACTAAATGTCTTCTCTTTAATTCTACTCGAGTCACCTGTTCTTTACGAATTTACTACAATTATCCTTGTAAAATCCATTCACAATGTTTACACATGTGATATGTAGCAACTAGGATGGATAAGGATTTCAAAAAAAGCTTGTACAGAGTAATAATAATCGCAAAAAGCTATAAAGATTTAAAATTAATGTATAAATAGCGCTGTAAAAATCATGATTAGCAAAAACATAAGATTTTTAAAGAAAATCTATGCAAGAAAAGAACTATTTCAATAATATCAACCAAAATACTCAAAGCATTATGTCAGTTTAAATTGTACTATTCAGCTTATGTCATATTTTCATAACCATTAATAGTCTTTAAAAAGGTTTACAATAGTTCCAATGAAAAATTTAGACATTGTAGTGTAGTGTAGTCAGTGTGGTGAACTTTTTTTTTATCGAGCTGAACAAGTCACATAATTATCATCAACTTTATATGTATCCGTGATTATTAAAACAAAACTAACCAGATGTCTTAATTTTAGAACAAATTATTGCCTTTTACTAGAGTCAATGAACTAGAACTCGATTTCTACTGGGCATGAATTTCAAGGTAGTATGTTTGTTTTCTATTACAAAAAAGTTCTCTTTCTCTCTCTCTCTCTCTCTATATATATATATATATATATATATAGATGGATACACTTACACAAGTAAATACTAGACAACTAAGCTGACACAAGGTCATCGTTACTTTCATGTGCATAGACAGGTATGGATACATAGAGAATGAATGTGATTATTATTATGGCTAATACTCATTGACGCAGTGAATGGTGTTCGTAGT